TTATTAGTGATGTTGAACATCTTTTAAGATGTTTCATAGCCATCTTTACTTCTTCTTTTGAGAACTCTCTGTTCAGCTCCTTAGCCCATCTTTTAATTGTGTTGCTTCTTGTCTTGATTCTCTCTTTTGAGTTTGTTATATATTCTGATTATTAAACCTCTGTTGGATGTGTTGCTGGTGAAGATTTTCTCCCAGTGTCCATGGAGGCCAGAAGTGTCTGATCCCCTGGAACTGATTTATAGGCCTTTGTGAGCCAACTAACATGGGTTCTAGGAATAGAACTCAGGTCCTCTGCAAGAGCAGTGTGTGTTCTTTAACTGCTGAGCCATCTTTCCAGTCCCCTACCACTGTAATTCTAAACAGTTCTACATATGCAAGCATGATATATGTTTTCCTAAATAGAAGAATTGCTTATGTTTAAAATAAAACTTAGGCCAGGCATGGTAGCACATGCCATTAATCCCAGCACTTCAGAGGCAAATGCAGGCCAGTGCTATATAGTTAGACTCTGTTTCAAAAAACCAAAAATAATTAGTAAATAAATAAAGAAATAAACAAACAGGTTTTCATTTTTCCTAGTGTTTTTTTTGGAAAGTGGTTGGAGGAAAGGGTTTGAGACAGGATCTGCCTGTAGCCCAGCTGGTCTGGAACTCACTAAGTAGACCAGGCTGGCCTTGATCTCATAGTTTCACCTGCCTAGCACTTTCCTACTGCTTTTTAAAGATATATGTATTTATGTATTTGTGTATATGAATACATGCACATTTTTTGGGTGGGGGATGAGTGTATCCACACACAGAGGACATAATCTCTATCACTCTTCACCTACCCCTTTGAGGAAAGGTCTTTCTGTGAACCTGGGGCTCAGATTTTCTCAGCTTGGTAGAAGTCAGCAAGCCCCAGCAATCCTCCTGTCTCTACACTCCCACTCTGTGCTGGGTTTACAGTAATACACAGATAACCCCACTTGTTATGTGGGTGCTAGGATGAGAACTTTAGTCCTCATGATCACACAGAAGTGCTCTTAACCACTGAGCCTTTGCTTCAAACCCCCCTAGTGTATTTTCTTCCCTATGTCATTTAGCAGAAAACTGAAAGATTTAACAAAGAAATAAAATTTTAAATTCAGGCAGGTAGTATACCACAAATGATACTATATTTAAGTGATTTTCTGTATTTTTCCATTCAACTTTCTGTGCTTAGTTTAAAAAAAAAAAAAAAAGTCCACCTTCAGTAAAAATCTTCATTGAAGAAATACAGAAATATTTATTGTCTGCAAAGAGACATATGTAAGGTTATTAATGCTATAGTTAAAAGCAACAAAAATATCAAGAGCTGAATAGTATCTCTTTAGAAATAGTTTAGAAAAATTAAAGTCAATTATTTTTATATCAGTATACCTAGATTTTGAATCTTTGTTAAGTAAAAAAAAAATGGAAATTGCAGAATAAGATCAGAATCATTTATGTACTTTTTAAAAACATAAAGCAAAATGTCAGTCTTCATAAAAGCGTAAGTGTGGTCGGTTGAAATGTCTAAGCAGGTAAAGGTGCTTGCCTCCAAGCCTGACAACCTGAGTTCCATCACCAGAACCTACATGGTGAAAGGAGAGAACCAATTCCCACAAGTGTGTCACACACGTACACACACACATGCACCACTAAATAATAAATAAATGTGTAATAAGAAACTTAAAGCACATGTGTAGTAAAAGTATGAAAGTAATGGACAGAAGGTATATAATTTCTTAAATGGTCACATACAGAGTTGAAGAGAAAGGAGATTATCTTAAACTAAAAATGGAATAAGGATGCTTCATTTTTACCTGTAACTCTTTTTTTTATAAAAAGAATCTGTAAAAAGAATCTGAAGAAAATATGGCTAAATGTTAATATTTGTCAAATCAGAGTAATGAATATATGTGTACCATATTTTCTCTTGTTTCCCTGAGTCATTGGGATTTTTATAGGTCTGAAGAGGAATTTTTTAAAAGTTAAAAAAATTCTATTGATTAAAGAATTCGGTACAATGTATTTGTTTACTTTTGGGTTTTGTTTGTTTTAGTTTTTTGAGACAGGGTCTCCCTGTAACCCCAGCTATCCTGGAACTCACTGTGTAGACCAAGCTGGCCTCAATCTCACAGAGATCTGCCCTCATCTACCTCCCAAGTGCTGGGATTAAAGGCATGTGCCACCGTGCCTGGCCCTTCGTACAATGTTTCTGATTATATTTAGATCCTCCTCCCTTTCCAACCCCTCCTTACTACCCCCCCACTTCATGTGCTCTATTTTTATTTGTGTGCACATATATGTAGAGAGGGGTGTGTGTGTGTGTGTGTCTGTGTGTCTGTGTGTCAAATCTAGTCTGTGTTTCCCAAATTGCTCTCGGGAGTAGGTCTGTATACCTTGAAGTCTGGTCAGTTTACTAGGTATCACACAACTGAGGGAACTGACTCTCCCTTGAAGAGGAATTTTTTAAATGAGACAAATTGGGTTTTATTGGATGTTATAATCTCATAATATCAATAAGACCAATTCAGTCAAGAATAGTATATTTATTATACTTGCATCTTTTCTATTAAAGTAGTAAATTTTAGGAGCTGTTTTTGGAGGGGGGGTTATTTCATTGCAGATCCCACAACTGAGGTATTATTATTAATATTTGACATCAAATCTGATAATCCAGTTTGAGACCTTTTTAATGAATTACAATTTTAGAATGAGAAATTATAATATCCTTCATCTTACAGGGGTTTTTTTTTGGGGGGGGGGTATTTGAATCATTCAGTTTTCCTCACCCTGTTCCAAATTTGTCTTAAAAATTATGATAATCAGCTGGGCTGGGTGTGGTATTACACGCCTTTAATTCCAGCACTCAAGAGGCAGAAACAGGCAGATCTCTATGAGATTGAGGCCAGTCTGGTCTACATAGTGAGTTTAGGTCAGCCAGGGCTACAGGGAGACCTTAACTCAAAA